GCTGATTTGCAGAGGCCAGTTCCTAATGCAGTCCTAACTACCCTGCAGGACCAGGGCTGAAACAAGTGTAAAACCCTCAAGAAGCTCTGAGGAAGAACATGTACAATAAGATGTGCTCTGAAAACAATCTTAAAATCACAAGAAGAAATTGAGCACACAAGAGGAGGTTGAGCATTACAAAAAACCGAGCAAACAGAATAACTCATACCCAAGGAACTACAGATTTTTAAAAATACAAAAGAACTTTAAAAATGAACTATACTGAAATACTCAAAGACATAGAAGAAATAGTATCCATGAAACAAATAATAGAACAGGAAAATACAAAAAAAGAATCATTGCAAATCTTCAAAATGCAGCATTTAGTCATTGGTGTCTGTGCGTGTATAAAAGAATCCCTAAAGGGTATAATAGAGATGGCTGAAAAGAAAATCAGTGACTTGGAATCCAGCACTCTCCAAGAATGCACCATCACCAAACCAAGAGACAGGAAATACACAAATTTGACAAAAGCTAAATTATCTCCCCAGAAAAATTTGTATGTGTACCTATCAAAAATTTGTAAACAATTTCAGGAAATTCCCAGAGTCCCCGAAGCTTAAATTTTACCACAGAATTCTGAATATAAAATATCTTAAGATCAAAATTCTGTCCTGATCTATTAATGCATAAAATAAATACTGGTTGGTTTAAGGCTCATGAAACAGACATTAACTTTGAGTTAGGATCAAATCAAAGAGAAACCAAACCAATGTAAGCCAATTAAATCTTACCACGAAATGAAACAAAGAGAGTATCCCAATCCTTTATGGAAAATTGATCCTTATCCATAAGCAAATAAAAAACTCTGGTGTATATCAAAGCTTTGTTAATTATAACGTAACAAATTATCATTTTAGGTGCAGACAAGATTTTAAAGTTCATATTGGCACTGCCAACTGTACAAAAAAGATAGAGTGCTCATAATAAGCAAAACCCATTTTTTAAAAATAATGTTACATGATTGGCATGGGGTTACAAGATTGGCAAAGTGTGAAAAAAGCAAAATGCTCTCAGAGAACGGTGAGGGAAAAAAGTCTGAAAGAAAGACCTAGAGAAATTACCTACACTAAAGGAACATTTAAAGACTAAGCTGAAAAAGACCAATGAAAGAGGAAATCTCAGCAGCTAGAACACAGTGACATCCGGTGGGCTGAACAAAACTAATGACAACACAGGCAATGTATGTACGCTATAAAAAGCCAGTCCCACAATATCATCAGTAAAATCTACATGTTCCTCTTTATTTTTTTAATGGGAATAGGAAAAGCAATAAGGTACTTCATTCTTTTTTCAAGACTGGCCCTAAGCAATTACAGAGATAGGGAAAGCTGGCCAAAATCTGTACCACACAAGAAGTATCTAAATTTTTCCCTCATAATGAACCCAAACAGAAATGTTTAGTTCTCCTCAAAACTTGGATGGAAGACAGGTCTCTTACAGAGATCTGACAACACAAAAATCCTCCTTAAAATACACTTGAAATGTTCTAGAATACAAAATTCAAATGGCATACTGAATATGTTCTGTTTAAGACAGCTAGGATCTTTGGAAGGTAAAATGATTTCTCTGAAGATTAGTGAAGATTTGGAAATAAGATTGTTACTCTTCAATATTTTTTAAATGCTTTAATAAACTTCAGTATTAGATTCTTTCAGGAGGTATATATACACAGATTTTCTTCAAGAGGATGCAGAGAGAAACTACGTTGGTTAAAGACCTTGAAATATTTAGATAAATATACAGGCACACCTCAGAGATACTGCAAGTTCACTTCCAGACTACCACAAGAAAGCAAACGTTGCAATAAAACAAGTCACATGAATTTCCTGGTTTCCCATGCAGATAAAAGTTATGTTTCACATACTGCAATCTATCAAGTGTAGAAAATTATTATGTCTAAAAAAACAACATGCATACTTTAATTTAAAAACATGATTGCTAAATGTGATGATTGCTAATAACCATCTGAGCATTCAGTGAGTCATAATCTTTTTGCTGGTGGAGGGTCTTGTCTCAATGCTGATGGCTGCTAACTGATCAGGGTGGTTCTTGCAGAAGGCTGAGGTGGCTGGGGCAATTTCTTATGATGCAATGACGATGTTGCTACATCCATTGACTCTTCCCTTCGCAAATGATTCTGCTACAGTATGTGATGCTATTTGATAATCAGAATTTGACCCATAGTGGAAGTACTTTCAAAACTGGAGTCAATCGTCTCAAATCCTTTGAAGCCTCTGCCTTAGCAACTAAGTTTACATAATATCTAAATCCTTTGTTGTCATTTTGATACCATTCACAGTATCTTTGCTGGTAGATTCTACCCCAAAGAAACCACTTTCTTTGCTTATCTAAAAGACGCAACTCCTCATCCATTAAAGTTACATCATGGATTATAATAGTTCAGTCACCTCTTCAGGCTCCACTTCCAATTCCAGTTCTCTTGCTATCTCCACCACGTCTGCAGTTGCTTCCTCCACTGAAGTCTTGACCCTTCAAAGTCATCCATGAGGACTGGAATCAACTTCTTCCAAACTCCTGTTAAACTTGCTATTTTGACCTCCTCCCACGAATCACAGATGTTCTTAATGGCATCTAGAATGGTGAATCCTTTCCAGAAGATTGTCCATTCACTCTGCCCAGATCCATAAGAGAAATCTCTGTCTTATGGCAGCTATAGTCTTACAAAATGTATTTCTTAAATAGGAAGGCTTGAACGTTGAACTTACTCCTTAGTCCACAGGCTACAGAATGGATATTGTGTTAGCAGGCATGAAAACCGCATTAAGCTCCTTACACATCTCCAGCAGACCTCTTGGGTGACCAGGAGCACTGTCAATGAACAGTAGTATTTTGAAAGAAATCTTCTTTTTTTTTCCTGAGCAGTAGGATTCAACAGTGGAATTAAAATACTCAGTAAACCATGCTGTGAACAGATGTGCTGTCATTCAGGTTTTGTGCAACTTACAGATACAGGCAGAGTATATTTAGCGTAATTCTGAAGGGCCCTAGTATTTTCCTAATGGTATATGAGCACTGGCTTCAGTTTAAAGTCACCAGTTGCATCAGCCCCCTCACAAGAGAATCAGCCTGTCCTTTGAAGCTTTGAAGCCAAGCACTGACTTCTCTCTACCTCTGAATATCCTAGATGGCATTTCCTCCAATAGAAACCTGTATCATCTACATTGAAAATCTACTGCTTCGTGTTATCACCTGCCTCAGTTATCCTAGCTAGATCTTCTGAATAACTTACTGGATTAACTGGATTAACTGGAATAACTGCAGCTTCTACATCACCACTTGCTGCTACGCCTCACACTTCTGTGTTATGAAGATGGTTCCATAACAACCTCTGCTAACTTCCAACTTTTCTTCTATAGCTCCCTCGCCTCTCGCAGCCTTTATGGAACTGAAGAGAGTTAGGGCCTTGCTCTGGATTAGGCTTTGGCTTAAGGGAATGTTGTGGTGGGTTTAATGTTCTATCCAGACCACTCAAACTCCTTTTGTATCAACAATAAGGCTGTTTCATTTTCTTATCCTTCATGCATTCACTGGAGTAACATTTCTAATTTCTCTAAGAACTTTTCTTTTTAGCATTTACAGCTAACTATTTGGCTCAAAAAGCCTAGCAATGGGCCTGTCTCAACTTTGGATGACATGCTTTTCCCACAAAGCTTAATAATTTTTAGCTTTCGATTTAAGGTAAGAGACACACAATTCTTCTTTTCCCTTGAACATTTAAGAGGCCATGCTAAGGCTAGTTTGTGGAACACACATTTACCTTCTCTGGGTGCAGTTTGTGGTATCCCAAGCCCGTTACAATAACACCAAAGATGACTGATCACAGATCACCACAACAGATATAATAATAAGGAAAAAGTTTAAAATATGACAAAAAGTATCAAAATGTAATCAGCCCAAAGTAAGCACATGCTGTTGGGAAAATGGCACCAATGGACTTACTTGAGGCAGGGTTGCCACAAATCTTCAATTAGTAAAAAACAAAATATCTACAGAGTGCAACGAAGCAAAGCACAATAAAATAAGGTATGCCTGTATATACCGTCTTTGAGTATTTTTTGTTACTTTGAAAGCATACAAATCAGGTTGTCTTGAAGTTCACAATTTGTAAGAATAGCGTCTGGCTTAAAATAGTAAATTTGAATCACAACAGAAGAGGCTCTTTTTTTTAGAGACAGAGTCTCACTTCTTTGCCCTCAGTAGAATGCTGTGGCCTCACAGCTCACAGCAACCTCCAACTCCTGGGCTTAGGAGATTCTCTTGTCTCAGCCTCCCAAGTAGCTGGGACTACAGGCACCCACCACAATGCCCGGATATTTTTTATTGCAGTTTGTCCAGGGCCAGGTTTCAACCCGCCACTCTCGGTATATGGGGCCAGCCCTACCCACTGAGCTACAGATGCAGAAAGAGAAGAACAGCCTTGTTCTGGTTAGCAGGTCTCTATTTAGTGTACATACTTTCCACCTGTAAACATACTTGGGTTTGAGTCTGTCTCATCTCACACCATCTGACAGAAGCATTTAGGGTTGAATGTTTGTTTCCTCCCAAAATGAATCTTCCTTAGGGAAGAAATTGAAACTTTGCAGCCAGGGTCATTCTGTTGCTAATTTACAGCAGCAAGAATAAAAATGTCTGGTGTGGAAGGTCATGTAGGCCCTCATTGGAGAAAATGCTTTCTTCATGTCCGTGAAATAAAATAACTAGAACAAATCTTGAATCAACAGTTAAAGCACAGACGTATAAAAACTATAGGTAGCAAAATTTTGACTGATAAATGCTAAAAGTGCTCTATAAAACTTCCAATGTGGTATTATCAAACTACAATATTTAGGGAAATAAGTCATTGAGAAAAACATACACAACTAAACCTAAATATTTGTCAAAATAAACTGAGGCTAGATGAATTTTTAAAAGATAATAATTTTTTAAATGACACTTACCAATCACAATTGAAGACTCACAGTGATAATAACCATTACTTTGTTTTTTCTTCTGCATGGAGCAAAGATCTATGCGATATAACACTTCTTCTCCAAATCTGTGACTGACAAATTTTTCATATAATTCAGGGTCTATTTTTTTCACTCCCTTGAAACGACAAAACAAAAATCACATCAATCAATCATTTCACCCAGGCAGCCGGTTCATATTTATATCACTTTCTTAAGAAACTGATATTACATTATGGTCGAAAGTACTCCTACTGGCACTTGAAAATGGATACTACAAAATTGTCGTAAAGCTGTTTTTAAAGTCTTCCCTGCCTAGGATGAGCTGTATTTATAAACCCATCCATAAAGAGTGTCGAATTTAAATTTGGCAGCATTCACAACTTTATACACTGTAAGCCTCAGAAACAATAAATCATAGTGAGTTGAAATTTGAGAGCACAAGGAAAGTATAATCATCCCCAACAACAATGGAGAAATAGATCAATTTTTTTAAAGTAACGTTAACATCTTAACACTTTATAGTGGGGAAAATATTCTAACAAGATGATACAATTTTTAAACTCCTTATGTAAAAATCACCTGAAAGACAATTAAAGGCTATTTAAATTGGAACCAGGAAGTCAGTGGATCTTAAAATGTCTTTTCTAGCCATCCCTCCTTATTTGCAGTGTAATTTCTTACTTGGAACAACTAACTGGTTGTTGAAAAATTACAGGTGGGGCTTAAGCAGGTGCATAGCCTGAGCTCAGAAGTTCAAGACCAGCCTAAGTAAGAGTCAGATCCTATCTCTAAAAATAGCTGGATGTTGTGGTAGGCGCTTGGAGTCCCAGCTACTCAGAAGGCTGAAGTAAGAAGATCACTTGAGCCTAAGAGTTTGAAGTTGCTGTGAGCTATGACACCATGCACTCTACCAAGGGTGACAAAGTGAAACTCTGTCTAAAAGACAAAAAAAGAAAGATTACAGTGGGATGCCCTTGGTGCCTCTGTGGTCCCCCAAGAGAAAGGAAAGAAAATCTCTGCTTCCCCTATACTATACAATGGCCCTGCAACCCAGTCTCCTGGTCCCATAGAGTCCGTAAGATGAAGGTGTACACGATACATAATTTCTGGGTTTACTGACAAAACCTTACCACAGGAAATTTTTTATTGGAGGTATTAAAAACAAATTAAATCACCCCACACTGCTATGCTACTACTCCAATTTTGTTATGTTTTATTTTTCCTATACAAATACTTTTTTCACTTTTTATAAGAATGAGATTGTGTTCCGCATACCATTTGTTAACCAATGTTTCAGTAAATACGTCATTTCAAAAAAGTAACGTACAAATGTTCAAAATATTTTTGCCTCCACAGTACTGCACTGTATGGATATATCTATCTCTTTATCTAATTCTTTATTGTTGGACATTTAGGTTGATCGTAATTTCTTTTTTTGAGACAGTGCCTCAAGCTGTTCCCCTGGGTAGAGGGCTGTGGCATCACAGCTCACAGCAACTTCCAACTCCTGGGCTCAAGCGAGTCTCCTGCCTCAGCCTCCCA